TAAATTAAGATCCAGGCAGGAAACAAATTGTATTTCACCACCCCTTTAAAATTAGAAAGCCACGTGACTTATTTTGGCCATAAATTGCCAGGGGAAGTTTTAAAACACGGCATCTTCTGTCAGATTATCTTTTTCCCATCGAGGAAGACATATTTTGAGCAAAGCTTCCATCAGTCTGGACTCTGATAATAAGCAGAGACGCGTGGTAACTCAGATGTGTAGAAGGAGCAAGAAGTAGCAGTGATGTCATAAGACACTGAGATTTTATATTTTCATTGATATATAATCTAGGTTATCCTGACTGTGATTATAGCTTTGGAGATTTTTTCAGAGTATTCCAGTTTCTACACACATTGAGAGTATTTGAGAAATAGAAGGCAGTGACCATACTACCAGAATCCAGGTTGGCTGGATAATAGAGAAGACAATTCAAAAGCCCTGATTTTCCTTCTGAGCTTCTAGAACCATTTATATTTAGAAGGAAAAGCTCAGAAGCCAAGGGTTGTGACAGGTTATTACGCATGAACATGTTCTTAGTTAATAAGACCACACATTTTAACAGTCAGTCAACAATATTTATTGTGTACAAAGAATTGAATTAAGTGTGTCAGAATATCAAAAAAAGGAGAAATAGATGATTATAATAATCCCTTATAACATATGCTGCTCGTTACAGGTTTCAAAGATTTTGCACAAATATTTTCTTCTACTGGAAGTAGGTAGGGAAAGTATCGTCCCTGTTTTACAGGTGAGGAAATGGGAAGTCACAAAGATTAAATGATTTGCCCAAGGTCACATCAAAGTTACAAGGGGATAAGTGGTAGAGACAAATCTAGGACACTTGGAGTAGATGTTCTTTTGTATCAGCCTATTAATTAAAATAGTTACTTCTCTGGAGGGCTAAAATTCTTGTTGCCAGAAAAAGGTTTATGAATATTTTCAAAGCCTACAGTCAAACGCATGAACATACAAGAAGCATTCGTTTGTGCCATGGTATTCGTGAATGCTATAGGTAGAAAATGGACGTGAAGACCTAAAACCATCAAACAGGTATAGGGATTTCTAAAGCCCCTTTCAGTCTCATCCAGACTGAAAAAACAGCATGCAGTGTAGGGGAGGCGTTGGTTCAAAACCTCAGGAGCTCCTGGGGTGAAATCTGAAACTGGCCCCATACACAGAGTGCAGGGAGAGACCAAAGAAAGAGGCAGACCTCTCCAGATGGGTAGATGGCAGGTGTAATAGGCAAGAGAAGTTACATATGAGGCTTGTCTTGAACAGCTGCAAAACAATAGAACTTCACACCGCCCACCAGAACCTTGAACATTTATACAGAAGCCTTAATGATGTTCAGTCCCAGTGGTTTCAACACCACATTGTTCTGTCAAGGCTGGGTCCCTGAAAACAGCTCTGGCTGTGTGTGTGGAGAGGGACTGGGATTGCCCGGGTCCAGCTTGCAGGTAAACCAGGGGTCAAGCCCTCTCCATGACCTCCCCCAACAGGGAAGAATCAACATTAAAGGAAACAATAACAATTGCCATTTATACGTGGCTTTAGTTCTCAAGTGATTTTCATGTATGTTTTTCACTTGTGTCTTACATTTTCGCTGTAAAGATTTGTCAAGTTGAGACCAGATATTGTACCCATAAGTCCTAAACTCTTATGGAAATACATAGAATAGGTGAAAACAGATTCTTAAATCAAATTTTGGGATACTATTATAAGGCAACCTCCTTTGAAACTTGAAATTAACAAATTGATGTGGAGATTTTAACATGTGGACTTATGTTCCCTTCTAATGAATCTGGGCTCTGTGTCTGTTTTGTTCTATCAGTTTCTAGACCAGGCGTTAAGAAACTGGTAGCTCCTAATTCCTATCTCTTGGGATACTCACTCTTGAAACCCAGTCACCATGCCCAAAGGAAGCCTGGAGAGGTTCATATGAAGAACTGAAGCCCCAAAGCCCCAGCCCTGGTTGAATTCCCAGCTGACTGTCAGCACCAAATTACCACCTGTGTCAGTGAGCCATATTGAAAGTGACTCAGAAATGAGCTGTCCCAGTGAGCCCTGCCCAAACGGCAGATCTAAGAGCAAAACAAAATATTATTATTGTGGGTTTTAGGGTGGTTTGTTACATGGTAAATCAGTGACATTTGCCTAGATTGGTTTTACCTAGAGAGGCCATCTATAGTACATAATATTGAGTACCTTGGTTTGAGTTTAGGGATTTTGTGTCTTCTCTTACATTTCAGAGTCAAAGAATGATCTCTTCTGTGAACACGAGTCTCTTCAAAGGGGCCTTGGGTTTAGTGGATTGTGTGGTTATCCTGTGTTCTCATAGTGTTGCCTTACTGGGGTCGTAGAGAAAGGTCATGTTTCTACAGGATGGAAGGGTATTCCATGAAATGAGCTGGGTTTCTTTTTGCCAATTACTGGGGACAGTGGGAACATTTCCTTTAAGGAAAGGAAATGAGATTTGGGACAGATCATGAAATTCCCACTTCTCATTGTGCCTCTTTCTTGAGCCTCTTTGATTTCAAGGTGCTGAAGTATGTTCAAGGGGACTTGGTGTGCTTAACCTCTCATCAAGGGCATGTTTTAACGTCACAGTTTGGCCTCACCCACGTCACACACTTAGGAAGAGCTTTAGGTCCTTGATTGGACCAGACCTTAGAGTTGGCTTGGACCCAACGACCTGAGTGCTGATGACTCTTCATTAAGAAAGATTTGTTCTTGGCGGGGAAAGCATGTAAGAGATCCACTTATTACATACCAATAGGATCCAAGAGGATCCCGGCCTTGAACGTGCATTTAGGGCAGGAGTCTTGTCATGCCTGGAGGAGAGACTATGACAGCTACTGTCTTTTGCCATAAAACCTAAGCTTCCTTTGGGGTTGCCATTCTTAAGCTCCTCCTGTCTCTCCTTTCTTGCAAGTGATTTCATGCATTTGGCAATATAGCTCAAGCCCACGACAAAACAGCTTTTACACACACACACACACACACACACACACCCCTAAAGCACAAATTTTATGAACCGGAGACGTGGTTTACACTTCATATATTTCATATGAACTTCAAGCCACTTCAAAGGAGGCGTTTTTCTGGCTTTTAAACTGACAGCAGCAGTCTGGGTTTTCTAGAACCCGATGCAACGCCCAAACAGCAGGGACTCCCTCATCTTTCTCTCCCCCGCTCTGCTGGAGCGGGGACCCACGGAGCCACCCGCAGTTGGCTGGGTGCGCCGCTGGGGGGACACCACCCGCGTGAGCTCGGTTTCTGCCAAGCGCTGCCGACTCCGGAGAGAAGGATGGGGGAGAGGTCAGGGGTGTCCGGGGGCCCGGCGCTGAGTGCCACGGGCCCGGAGACCCCACACCCGCTGCCGGCCTCTGTAGCAACGCGCCGCCCACTCAGGAATCCCCTCCCCTGCCGGGCGCGCCCCCGCCCAGCTGGCTGCGCGCTGCGGCCGGATCTTCTTGAATTTCAACACAAAGGGAATCCTCGGCCGCAGGAAGTGCATCACGAGGAAGGGGGACCGGGGGCGGGGAGAGAGAGATGCGTCCCTCCCCCTCGACATCCCCCGCTCTTCGGGAGCCCTGGGCTGCCGTGACGACACCCTCAGGGTCCCCCAGAAGCCCCACCAAACAGGAGAATCCAAACAAGGAGCCTCCTTCCCCGCAGTAGTGAGGGGCGGGCGCTCTCGCCTCCTGCCAGGCGCCCGAGCTTCCCGGCGGCGCGGACCCGGCTGCCCTGGCTGCGGCTCTCTCACCTGTTCGCTTCACCCCCTTCTCTCCTTCCGGGTGCACTGGCACCTGGGCCGACGTTTGTTTTTCCACCCCGGGCTCTCAACTTTCCTCCTACATCCTCTTCCCTTCCAGGTTTTCTGTAGATTCCCGGCTCCGGGGGTCCTGCACTCCCAGCGGCGCTGCTCCCCGGGCTTGGGCAAGGCTTTCCCGGGAGGGAGTCCCCGCGCCAGCAAGGGGGGCGGGACCGGGAGGGACCACTTTCGTTTTCCCAGATGCTGGCCGTGCCGGGGACTCGCCAGGCTTTCTACCTGGAGGTGCTGGTCGGGGAAGGAGATGAAGGGCAGGCGAGGCTCTTTTGTGCTGCAACTATATTTATGAAGCAGCCTTACGGGTTGTACTTGACATTGTATTTTTCAAACCAATAGCAACAGCAAACTTTTCTAGAAAGGTTTTGTTCACATTTCACCACAGAGTGGGAAACCATTCATTATCCCTATAAAAAGCTATTATTTTGTTATATTCTTTTAGTTTAGAATGGCTTGGGGAGACTAATGGTAATTTGGGGAGAGGGACTGAAACACCCCTTCCGGAGCCCAGGATGGGAAGGTGGGAAGACCCCGGCGCTTTGCATCAGTTTCCCGGTTGAAAGAGCCGGGGGACTGGGGAGGGGGCCTTGCAACTCACTCCAGGCTGCCTTGCTCGGGTCGCGGGCACTTCGCCGCGGCAGCTGCGCCGGAAGGGGGCCACCTCCCCCGGGGACGCCTGGCTACCTCAGCTCTCGCGGACACCGCAGGGGGACGTCCCCGCTCCCAAGTTCTGGGCGGCCGGGTACCTGCCCGACCTGTCTCCTCCCCTTCTCCAATACCACACCCACGGGACTCTGGTCTCCCCGGGAGAGGGACAGAGCGGGAACAAAGGGGTCTTTGTTCAGCGGCTCCCGGGGGGTGGGAGTCGTGCTTGCTCGCGTTTCCCGGCGCCCCTGGGAGATGGGCAGGCTCCGTGACTCCGAGCCTCGCCCAGCCTCGAGCGCCGCCCTCCGCGACCCCAGCGCCTGAGGTCAGGTTGCGGCGCCCCGGGCCACCGCGGGTTCTTCCCGGGCGGGCGGGCTGCGCGGCGGCTCCTGGCGGGCTCTGCCGCCCGCGGAGGGACGGTGGGGGTTCTCGGAGCTGGCGGAGGTGGAGGGGGCGGGAGAGGGAGCCTGCGCCCAGCTGAGCCTGGAGGTGCGGGGCGGGCTCCGCGAGCACTCTCTGGGCTGCTCCTGCCGGAGCCGCGGCGGCTGGAATCAGCTCCTTCGCTCCTTCCATCCTCCCCCTTCTCTCGAGCGGCCCCATCACTGCGCCGGGCCCCCCTCCCCTGCCGTCATCACGCTCCCCTTCTCCCTTCTTGGCACTTTCCTCTCGAACCATCCTTCTGGACAAACTTTGATGGAGAATTTCACACCACGCTGGAAAAATGCCGGTTATGAAAGGATTACTGGCGCCCCAGAACACCTTCCTCGACACCATCGCCACCCGTTTTGACGGAACACGTAAGTCTTGCACTTCGATGAGTTGTATGGGTTTTTTTTTTTTTTTTGAATGATTCTTCTCCTATAAATTACTTTCGTTCCCACCCTCCTTTTTGCACCAGTGGATTTTGTTTCCTTATGGTCCTGCCGAGGTGTCTTTTGTGCGGAGAATTTTTTTCCTCTCGTGGTTCGGTGTAGTATTAACACTTCGGTGTAGTTGGCCCCCTTGACTCTTAGGTTTGTAAAGTCTGGAAAAGAACCTGAAGAAAGACCGACACCCGTGTTCACTGTGGGACCCGTAATTCCTCGGTTTTTATTAATTTTATGAAGTGAAAATGAAAGTTGTCCATATTGGTGAATTGCCAATCTGTCCTTCTAGAGTTTCAAGGCTCCGAAAATTATAGGGAGAGTTTAGAATGTTCTTCGTCTATGGAGCCTCATTCTGTGAGGTATTTTGGATAGGCATGATCCCATCTGAGTTTAAGAAATGCAACTAGAATCAAGATTGCCAAGTGTAAGCTTCCCGTAGAATTCTAAACGTTATGAGTTTGTCAGAATCCCGATTCCTGCTTCTCAGGTATTGAAAGGTAGCATACCTTTCAATCTGAAATTATCCTAACACTCGAGGAGAGACTGTTGGAGAAGGAGAAGCCGGGCGTTATAAAGGTTGATCTGATCATAAGAGGAAGTTTCAACATAATTTTTTTGAGGGTGAATATTATTGGACGCTTAGCTTGTTTAAGCTTCTGTTTAAAAGCAAAGATATGGTGTGTGGATTCTTGGAGACTGTTGGGAAACGTCTGCAAGTTGTTCTCTTTCAGGACCACGGCCAGGTCCCCGTTCATTCCCAGGCTTCTCAAACTCCCCTCTTCTTGACCGGTTGGTTTCCCCTGTAATGAGGAGTCTGTACTTTCACCCCCAGCAAAAGCTATCAATTGGTTTCACTATGAATATCCACACCTTCCTCCTAGCTTATGTTGCTTCTGCGTGCTATCTTTCCTTTTCTGCCTGTTACACAAGACTTGTAGAAACTCATTTGTTCTAAAGGCTAGTAGTGATTCAGGCATCATTGTTTTTTAGGATGATGGCATATTTCTTGGAGCTGATGTGAGAGAGCACATCTAACTCTATTTTCACTCCAGTCATCTGGATACACAGTCTTACTACAATGGGAAGTAAATCCTGGACTTTCGCGCTTCAGGAGTAGTTGGAAAAGTTTATATGAGGGAGAAATGAACTATTTACTGGATTTTATTCAATTTTTATTTTCAACCTCTAGACTACTCAGGGTAGTTGGTGAGCCTTTCCTTCCCCTTTTATGATCTAGATGTGTCAGACAGTATGAGTGAAGTGCAATGCTATTATTTATCTGTCTTCCTTAGATAATAATAGAAAAATACAATAAAATTTCAAATCCCTGCCAGTGACATCACACCCACCACCCAACCACTACACAAAATCACCACTGCTATCTTCATGCATGACTGTGGTTACTACTATTTGTTACCTTAGGAACTGATCAATTTCTAGTGGATGTTTGTTCTAGAAGTTGCAAATTTAAACCCAAAAGACTTTCAATATTGATCACAAGTGCATGTATTGAAAATGAGCTAACTGGTAAGTGGTCGTTGCTTATCTCATTGTTATTTAAAGTTGAATGGAACGTAGTGTGTTCCCAGCATAGCCCTGGGAATTACTGCAGGGATATATTTAAGTACCAGTTGCTAATGAGAGGGGCTTTGGATCATCTGTGTGAGGACACTTCTGCCTCTTTCACTATAACATGTGATAGACAGAAGGCATGTAGAGAAGGAATGGTGTACTAGTGAATAGCTCTTTTTCTATTTTAACTACACATTAATGTGAATAAAATAGAAGGTTAGAAGTTTTAAATTGTTGTTTGGGAAGACCATCATCACATAACCAGCATTTAGAATATTAGTAAAACTGAAACTGTTGGAGAGCATGCTTGGTCTGTTCTCCAAGGGTCTGTGGGATTCCTGGAGGGAACCACTTTGTATGAAATCAATCTGAAAATAAGTGAAGCAAATTTCAAAGTAATGAGTGACATAAAGATTTACTTTAGCAAAATTTTGTTGAGAACTTTTAAAGATACCCCCTCATTCCAATAAACCCCACTCAAGGAAAGAGGACTGTATCCTCTTATTTGCTTTTCATTTGAATTGCAAGATGACTTGAATAATCTGAAACTTAAAAAAATACATGAAGCAAATTTAAGCCACAAATTTTGCTAACATCATGGCATATCAGTTTGCCTGCTAAATATTTAGTTTATCTTTTTCTATCTTGTATGTGTTGACACTTATTAAGTATAATTACTATCCCTGAAACTCTTTTCCTATGATCATCCTTCTTTCTCTTGATTTTTCTTATAGCAGTCATTTATTTTCTTGTGCAAGATAAAACCATTTGAAAGTTTTAAATTAGCAAAATTGCCACTCGCCCAAATAAAAATTATAGTGGAGAGTGCCTAATGTTATTATACTCAAAATGTAATGTGTTTACTTGGTACATTTTCTGCCTTGTTAGGTATATTTTATAGTCATGTTAGTTTCTTATTTTGTTTTATTTTGGAAAATATCATTGAAAAACTAAGAGAGCAAACAATAACCCTAGAAAACCACCTTGCTAACTTAACCACCATGAAATATTATTATTATCTTTATTGATTTAATATTGTAATGGAAAATAATAAATCTTAAAACATCATGTAAAATTTCTCCCAGGAAAAATTAAATATATGACAAGAAAAGCCTATAACGTAATCTTACTGATTTATCAGTCGAGTTATTATCATCACAGGGCAACAAAAAATAAGTTAATAATATATTTTATCACCTAGTGACACTTTATTATTGAACATAATAGGATATTTTTTCTTTTTAATATTTAAGAAGTGAGCTGTTGGTCAGGATTGAAAGTCAATAGTGGACCATTAATTGAAACTTTTTTCTCATATTCAATATAATTTTTAAAAACTATTGGAAAATATAAATCTTTTCACAAAAACTACCCTGACATATATTTACTCTTGAAATATGTTCTCCTGATTTATGTTTAACTGAATGTAAATGAGACTTAGAAAAACTAAGAAGCTTGCAAATATTGAATATGTGTACCCCATTTAGGGGAAAAAAGTAACTCCAATGAAATTCTTTGACTCATTGCATATAGCCATACTTCTCACTTGAAACACTTAAACACACACACACACACACACACACACAGTGTTAACATTATGACCTGCATATAGTTTATTTTTACATCGTTCATTTTTTTTTACACATTTAATGTACTTAAAAAAATCTCTTCTGCATAGGCTTTTGCTTTAAGTACATTAATATTAATCTGGACAAAGGGAAATGATAATAACAGAACACATAAGTACATATTTTAAAAAATAGTTTTTCAGTACAAGTATTTGCCACAGAGTACCATTTGAGAAAAACACATTTCTTTGAGGATATAAAACTTTCAAAGGGAAGTGTCCATTTTCCAACAAAATGGTGCATTAGCCTACATTTTCCAGTCACATCAAAATTTGGCCAGAACAATTCTTTCTCTTTGGGGTTAGTGAGACATGATCTAAGCTCTAAAGGAAGCTTGTAGCCCAGTAGACTCTATCAAGGAGATTCCATTCAAAGTATTCAGAAATAATGGTGGTTTAGACATTCATTTTGTATTTGCATATGTTTTATGTACTCCTGTTCAAAATGGTCCAAGGAAATTTGTTAAATTGAAACACTTCCTTTCCAGAGGAAACTCAATGGAGTTTCTTTTCCCCTTTATACTTTCATCAAGGTACATAGATCTCTTAACTTCGGAAGCATAGAGAGAAGGGTAATGTACCCAATGCTGTAGCAAAGGGACACAATAAGGAAGGGGACAGTGGGAACTTCCTAAGTCTTTGCTGGGCTGTAGTTAGAAGACTATCATCAGAGGCATTTAGCCAATAAAAAAGATTGAGCTCCATTATGTATGGGTCTGTCTGTAAAAGGCTGTTACATGAAAACATTCAAAGAAATACCTAGCACTCCGTAGATATCTCCCCACAAATGGGAGTTCGTAAAGACTTGTTGGTATTTTTTGCATGCCACGAGTAGCCTCTTATTCCCATTCTGTATGTTTAGAGAGACAGTTCCCACGTCAGTTTTCTATTTCCGGGTAGTGAATTACCACGCATTCAGTGGCTTATCATCTCACATTTTCCGTAGGCCAGACATCCAGGCAACGACCAGCTGGGTCCTGTGCTCAGGGCTTCCGGAGGCTACAAGGCTGAAACCAAGTTGTCAGCTGAGGCTCGAGGCCCCCTTCCGAGCTCTCGTGGTTGCTGGCAGAATTTAGTTCCTTGTGGTTTTTCTCAGCAACTGGAGGCTTCCTTCCGCCTCCTGACACATGGCCTCTTCCCCAGGCCCTATTACAACAGAACAGCTTACTTCTTCACAATGACTCAGCCATAAAAAAGGAATGAAGTAATGCCGTTTGCAGCAACATGGGTGGACCGAGAGATGATCATACTAAGTGAAGTCAGTCAGACAGAGAAGGACAAATATAGTATGATATCGCTTATATGTGGAATCTGCAAAAAGGGTACAAATGAACTTCTGTACAAAACAGAAATAGACTCGCAGATGTAGAAAACAAACTTATGGTGACTGGGGTAAAGGGGAGAGGAGGGATAAACTGAGAGATTGGGATTGACACACTACTATATATAAAATAGGTAAGCAATAAGGACCTACTGTATACCACAGGGAATTCTACTCAATACCCTGTAATGGCCTGTATGGGAAAAGAATATTAAAAAAGAGTTACACATATACATATGTATATGTATAACTGACTCACTTTGCTGTACACCTAAAACTAACACAACATTGTAAATCAACTGTACTCCAATAAAAATTGAAAAAAAGAATAAAAAAAGAACAGCAGGAATGCCTGTCGTTTAGAAGCTCACCTTGGTCAGGCCTACCCAGAATAATCTCCCTTTTGACTCA